CTTGACGACTGAGCCACCCAGGCGCCCCTAAACTAGGTCTTTAGGTCACCTGTATGCCAACAGCATCAAACACAAAGAAGCATTTGCGTTGAAATCTCATAGCAGTATTCAGCATAAAGTGGTGGTCATCCAAAATCACTTTAAACAGACTTAAACTTTTTTCCTAGCTCAAAAGGAAAATGGCAAAGAAATTTAAAACTTCATAGGGTTCACAGAGCCCCTGGGGACTACATCCACCGATCTCAGTTTGACTAGCAAGGATTAAACAAATATTGAGGGCCTGGTGCTTGCCAGTGACTATTAAAGATAAAGACACTGTCCCTGTCTTCAAGGAACTTATAATAATATAGTTTTAATTCACTCAATAAACATTTTAGCACACATTTGTAATCAGGGTGGTGAGTTTGAGCCCTGCATTGGGTATAGAGATTGCTTAAAAAGAAAATCTTTAAAAAAAAAAAAAAAAGGCATCCTTATTTACAACTAAGCTGCTTTTCATACTAGCAGAAAATTCAATTTGTAAAACCACAATTTACTAAATAAACTAATTATGGCATTAAAAAAAAAAGACGAGGGCGCCTGGGTGGCTCAGTCATTAAGCGTCTGCCTTCGGCTCAGGTCATGATCCCAGGGTCCTGGGATCGAGCCCCACATCAGGCTCCCCGCACCGCGGGGAAGCCTGCTTCTCCCTCTCCCACTCCCCGTGCTTGTGTTCCTGCTCTCGCTATGTCTCTCTCTGTCAAATAAATAAATAAAATCTTAAAAAAAAAAAAAAAAAAAAAAGACGACAACGACACCGAGAAGCTGGAAGTTAAGAAATAAAGACGTGAAAGTAGTGGTCCTTCTCAAGAAACTGATGTATGGGGAAGTATATCAATGATTATAGTAGTGTCATCAGAGGTATGCACAGGGGCCCTTCATAATAATAATCGTATTTACCAAATTGTAAGGAATGAAAAGTTAACAAGCCCAACAAAGAGAGAGGTGGAAGAGATGGAAAAGGTATTCCACCCAGAAGGCACACATGCAGTCAGAGAGATAAACACCAAGACATATTTAATCATGTTTCTCTAAGCATGACTGACAGAACACCAGTATCACAATCACCTGTAATGCATGTTATAATTTTTTTACAGCTCTACTTAATCGAATGAATAAAATTTTTTTTAAAGATTGGGCGCAGAAATCTACAATTTAATAAGCACCTTCAATCTTATGTTCACTGAAGTTCAGGAAGCACAGATTAGAAAGAGTTGCTTATATACCTCCACATCAAAAAACCCCAAATAATCCAATTCAGGCAGAGGACCTGAATAAACATTTTCCCAAAGACATACAATACAGATGGCTAACAGACACATGGAAAGATGCTCAACATCACTACTCATGAGGGAAATACACATCAAAACCACAATGAGGTACCACCTTACACCTGTCAGAATGGCTCGAATCAAAAAGACAAGAAATAACAAGTGTTAGTGGGGATGTGGAGAAAAAGGAACACTCGTGTATGTTGGTGGGAACGCAAACCAGGGCAGCCACTATGGAAAATAGTATGGTGGATGCTCAAAAAATTGAAAATAGAATTACCATATGATCTAGTAATTCCACTACTGGATAGCCAAAGAAAATGAACGCACTAATTCAAAAAGATATATGCACTCCCATGTTTATTTACTGCAGCATTATTAATAGCCAACCAATGGAGCCAACCCAAGTGTCCGTCAGCAGATGAATGGATGAAGAGTAACAACATGGATGGACATAGAGGGTATAATGCTAAGTGAAGTAAGTCAAGACAGAGAAAGACAAATACCGTATGATTTCACTCATGTGGAATTTAACAAACAAAACAAATGAACAAAGAAAAAAGAAAAACAAAAACAAATTCTTAAATACAAAGAATAAACTGGTAGTTGCCAGAGGGGAGGTGGATGGGTGAAATAGATAAAGGAGATTAAGACTACACTATTGTGATGAGCACTGAGTAATGTACAGAATTGCTAAATCATTATATTGTACACCTGAAACTAATAAAACACTGGAGTTTATTTTTTTTATTTTTATTTTATTTTTATTTTATTTTTTTAAAGATTTTATTTATTTATTCATAAGAGACAGAGAGAGAGAGAGGCAGGCTCCCCGCTGAGCAGGGAGCCCGATGCGGGCCTGAGCCGAAGGCAGACGCTCAACCATCTGAGCCACCCAGGCACCCAACACTGGAGTTTTTTAAAGATTATTTATTTATTTGTGTGTTTGAGAGAAAAAGGGAGAGAGACAGACCACGAGCGGGGGGCGGGGGCAGAGACAAGCAGACTCCCTGCTGAGCAAGGCCGGGGGGGGGGGGGGGGGGGGCGGGGGGGGCCGGGGAAGAGAGAAAATAACTCCTAAAATTCAGAGCAGATAGAGTTAAAGGTATGGAGAAGAGGCCAGAGATGAGGGCAGGTAAGTCAACCAACTACAAGTTCAAAAAGTACCCTGGGTATCTAGCTAAGGAATATGATCTTTATTCTGAAAAACTGTACAGAGCCACTAATGGTTTGTTTCTCCACCAAGGAAGGTAACAATGTGATCAGAGTAGCAGCATTTCATAATAAAGCTGAGGGCTTCAAATGCAAGGTTGAGTAATCTGTATATAATCCTCTCAGATTCAGTAGGTTCAGAAAAAGCCCTGATCCTAAGCAGAGCACGTAAAAAGTGCTACCTCTCCAAGACTCCTTCCCCAACCCCACTTAAAAATAAGTTACCTTTGCTGTTTTTTTTTTTTTAAAGATTTTATTTATTTATTTGACAGAGAGAGACACAGTGAGAGAGGGAACACAGCAGGGGGAGTGGGAGAGGGAGAAGCAGGGGGAGAGGGAGAAGCAGGCTTCCCGCTGAGCAGAGAGCCCGATGCAGGGCTCGATCCCAGGACCCCAGGATCATGACCTGAGCCGAAAGCAGACGCTTAATGACTGAGCTACCCAGGCACCCCTACCTTTGCTGTTCTTTGCTTCACTGAAAAACTTAGTACCCTGTCTAGTTTCAAAGTAATCTTCATGAGCAAATGGTGCCCACAGTCCAAATCCGTAACTTTTTTATTTAAGAAAGGGATAATAAAATGTGCAACTCGCTATTACAACTAATAATTTCTGCTAATGAGTTCCTTCAATTCTTAAGTATGGGACCAACCCACCTTGGTGATTTACCTACATTAATTTTTTATTACGTACAGAACACTGGGCACATTAACCACTGTGAGAGTCATGTGGTATTTAGTTACTTTCAATGACAATGTAGAAATAAAAGACTTTCAAATATTTTATTACTAAAAGATAACTCTTAGTACAATTACATTATCAACGAGAAGTTCCCATTAATTCTCTAGCAGCCTTCCTTATGTTTTTAAAACCTTACCAAACTTGGTATTTTTTGCCAAATATGCCTTAAATAAGCTGTGATTCCTCAGAAATTGGAGTTTTATGATTTCCTTCTTCCTCAACAAAAATTTAATTTCTTCCCTGTATAAACCTTCAAAGTATAGTTTGATTTTAATGAGTTTATATCAGTGTTTGAGGTAAAACCTCTCATTTTCCTTTTAATGTTAAAATATTCAATTAACACACACCTGGGTATCAGTAATGGCACATGGATAGATTGACTCCCTAATTGCTACAGTAATAGGTATAAAAGATCTCCAAGAGTTCTCATATGCTCCTTCAGATCTGTGATCAAAGCTTGTCAATTTCTTTTATCCTTGTTATAACCTATTATTTTTTAAAGATACATGAAAATTACACACATTACAATAACATACCAAGAAACTTTTTAAAATGGAGAGGTTTGGCGTGACAACTGTCCTCAGTTTATTTCATGTGGCATTTTACTTCATTTAACTCATCTATTAATAAAACCCACTTCTGACCAAGTGGCCAAGCAACCCTGGGTCAAACCTAACTTTACTTTTTATTGATTATGTGACCCTAGTGAAGTTTGTTAATCTCCTTTAGCTGCATTTCTTTTGCAAAATGGGACTAATATTTGCTTTTTGGCTGGAATGATTAGGAGATATTGTAATACACTGTGTTACAGACAGTTGCATGAATGTACTGAGCTTTGTATTCAGTATCACAAGGGAAAAAAATCAGAAAAATTGTTTAAGTATGAAATAAATGAGGAATTCAACATCATTCTAAAAACAGTTCTAAACAATGCTAGCATAGTACTGTAAAACAGGCTTTTAAATATTAAAATAAAACCACATTTAAGTGAAAGCACTTCCAAATTAGGATAAGCAAATCAACACTTACTTTAAGAGCAACAGAAAGTATTAGTTTCCTGATAGTGGATTATATGTAAAGAAATCGTAAGTGAAAATGTTAAGCGTCAGTGAAAATGAACAAGTAAAATGCTACTAAAAACATTTCATTAGACACAAAACACTTTAGCATCTTCAATTACACAAATTCAGACTAAAAGCACCCAAACACTTCAACAAGTAATGAACTCTGTCAGCAGGTGGCCCTAGTGACATTGAAATAACTTAATATCCAATGCTATAGCAAAATACAGATAAACATGTCCTGAATCTCAAAAATTTTAAGTCAAAAAGAATCCCATTAATACCTCAATCCAAGCCCTCTTTTTCAAATTAAAATAACCAAAGTCTACAATAATTAGGTGTCATGTTTAAAGGCTCACTAGGATGTTAGTAGTGGCAGAACAAAACTGAAAACCTAGATACCTCCTTTTAGCACTGTTAACAAATGAGCACTTACTATGTTGCCAGGTATAGCACAAGGAGCCCTCCTCCAAAATAATTCATCTCTAACTTATACAGGTCACATTTAGTAATCTGTCCACCTCATCTAAAAGTACACACAATTATATAAAAGCTTATTTTAATGATTTCTAATGGTACCAAGATAGTTATAGTAATATCAAAAGGAATACAATGTTAGCAATCTTATTCCCAGTCGCTGACAGAGAAAAGCAGTCTGGCTTTTCTTTTTTAAAAAGGCTAGGAAAGAAGAAATTTAACAGTCCTCATTTATACATCTTCCCACTTTCCAGCTCCAGAAGGGTTTCCCATCTTTTTATTTAACCAATTTAGGAATTCAGATAGTTGGAATACCAGAGGTAGAAGAGGTAAAAAGAAACAGAGGAGGTAAGTTCTATCTATTAGGATAAAAAACATACAATTCTAATAAATAGCTGAATTCTGGCTCAACTTTCTGTCTAATGATAATGGAGTCTAGGTTTTCTTTTACATCCCTTATCCTTGAGCCAAGACCTGAGAATACCTTTGTTATACGCAGTCATTTATTACACTGAATTTACTACTGCTAGAACTGGAGCTACTATATACATGAACCACATGTCAAAACAGTTATACAAATCATTCTTTGTAGTATTAGTGAAGGAGCTATAGTATAGAAAAAGGCCTAAAATGAACACATTAGTAAGTTCTGCCTCTGCCACTTTTCTGCACTGTGACTTCAGTTTCCTTACCTATAAATTAAGAATAACAGTATCTACCTCATAGCTATATCTTTATCTTTCTTATTCAGAAAGAAAGATTCTTAGATCTCACTTTTACAACTTTTATAACTAGCCTATAGCCTAGGCTTTACCGTTTTCTTCTTCTCTGAGGTTCCACCACTTTGTTATCTAGAGTTTCTTTATCCAATATAGTAGCCACTAGACATATTGAGCACTTGAAATGTGGCTAGTTTGAATTAAGAGGTGCTGAAAGTATAAAATACACACCAGAGTTTAAATATTTTTAGGGTGGAGAAAAAGACATGAAATATCTCATTCATATTTTTATACTGATTATATGTTAAAATGATAATACTCTGGACATACTCAGTTAAATAAAATACATAACTAATTTCACTTTTTAAAACCTTTTTAATATAGACACTAGAAAATTTAAAAGCACACGTGACTCTGTGTACTTCTTATTGGACAGCTCTGATCTAGAGTTCTGAATTCCCAACTGCTTATACTTTCCTTAAGAGTAGGGGTAAAATTTATACTTTACCTTTGCAACCTGAGCCTCTAGTAAAACACTTTCCACACAGTTAATGCTTATAAGTGATGATCGAAAATGTGCTTTCTCTTGGATTACTATTCTTATCCTATGATATTATGCTAGAAGCAAGAAATCTACTTCTAGTATTAGCCTACACTTATAGACATATAGTTAATAAAAAAATTTTACGGATGGAACTTCCTGATAAGAAAGGCAATCTCCTGATTATTCCAGTCATGGTCATTTCACTAATCAAGTTTTTAAAAACTGTATTTACACTTAGCTCAATTTTCCCTTTAAAGATATTATTATCTTTCCATTTTTACTGTACCCAGGATCATGTGAGGCACTAGTGAGAAAATCAGTTAGTCATTATGTTAACCTGTACGTTGTGACGGGTATTTTCCAAATCTAAGGACAAACACAATGCAGGTAAAAACTTATTGCTAAGATCTAAGTCGTTAACAAGCAATTTTTAAGGTATCTTAAGAGTCTCTCCCCTGTAGCATTTAGCTTCAATTCCAATTCTACTCATCAAGATCTAGGTACTGGTTTTTATCAGTGCTATGTATAGTAAAAAGTAATTTTTAAATAAAACATCTTCAATTACATTTGACTGTGGAATGTTTATAACTCCTTTAAAAAAATACTTAGGCTAATGAAACAAAATTTTTTTTTTTAATTTTATTCTTCTTATTAAAGTAGCTAGACCAACAGTCTATCAATCTTCACTGGTCAGTTATTAATAAAATATTTTAAAATTATTCTTTTTAGTTCAAACATTTAGGGAGCGAGCCAACTCTTGGCAAGGTAATAGGAAACAGAAAGAAGTAAAATACAAGATCCCTAACTGAAGGAAAGGCAAAACAAACCTAAGGTTTTTTGAAACTTAGTGATGAGAAGAGCACAAATATGTAATAAAGAAGAAGCTGGACTTGGTGAGAATAATGAATTTTATTTTAGAGACACAATAATTCAACAGCAAATATTACCAAGTATGGAAATAATGGACTAGAGCTTAGCAAACCCCCATTCTTCACAGATCCTAAACTAGACATTCAGCTTCAATTTCCTGTCTATAAAATGCTACAGATAGACTAGATGAACAAGTAATCCAATAAATTCTCTTTTATAGGCCTTAGAAGGTAGTGTAAATATGGTCTAGTGTACTAACACTCAATAAACAATCACTGAGTATCTCCTGAATTTTAAAATAGTTTATTAGTGATAGACTGTATTGTATTTTCGCAGTACAATCTTTTTTTTAAAAACTTATGTATAATTATTATTATATAGCCACATGAATACAATAAAATGTAATTCTCTTAAAAACATTTTAGTTTGAAATAATTATGTAGCTTCACAGGAAGGTAAACAAAGAAATAGAGAGGGAATTCCCATGTACCCTTCCCCCCAGCATCCTGCATCTTACACAACTTTTGATTATGTATTTGAAATAAAAAGTATCATATTAATTACATCAAAATTTCTTATAAAAACAACTCTAAAAGCTTCATTTCTGTGGGAAGCAGGGAAAATATTATTTAAGGGTCTTTTTAAGCTTCCAGGTTTTAAATTAAAAAAGGGAATTTAAAACCTTGAAAATTAAACCACAAAATTTCTGATGCTTGTCCCATAATAAATACTGGCACCAGCTACACTTTCTGTGTCCACTGAGTGGGGGAGGCTATGCCCAAGCGACATATACCTGTATGTGGAATAGAAAAAAAAAAAATTTTCCTAAAACAGAAAGACAGTCATTCTGTAATTACTTACAAATTGATCATTTTCCCATAATAAAAATGGCCATATCTGTACCCAAAAAGATTTGGCTCCATAATATAAATCATCCTGTAAGTACTCTAATAAATACATTTAATAAAAAAAAATAGGAAGCTATCCCCTACACTGCCCTCTTTCACTAAATTATTCATTCCCTTTTAACTGTATAATAATGTCTTCCAGTCTGTCTGTGAATTACTTTCAAGTGCAAATACTACACATGCCAACGAAGCACAGATGTATCTCATACCATATACTAGACAAATTCCTATCCAGTATATAAATTTCAGAAATTACATCTTGTATTAATTGCTTAAAAGACTTTAAAAAAAAAAAGAACTGTAAAGGTGATTCTATTTAGGAAGCAAAAAATCTTTACTAATAAATGCCTGTAACTATTATCAGATACGGATTTGCATCCACCAGATACTTCATATTAAGAAAAACCAGTACTTTAGACTCAGAAGCCTTTGTCTCCCAAGCACTGCTTCCAGGATCTTTCCTTGCAGCAGTATCCCTATTTGGGCAGAATAATGGCAAACAACTGTCACAGTGCCTTGTTAGGAATCTATTATTTTACGACAAAAATAATTTATACATAGTGCAAAAAACATAATGGCTTTTAAAAACTGTATTACAACAATCATATAGTTAAATAGACTGTATAATATATTACTGAAACATTAGAGAGCATCTCTGGGTTTTTCCCAATGGCACAAACAGAAGTGGTGAAACACATAAGACCACTTGAAATGACAGCAAAAGGAGAATAAACAGCATTTTTATCCTCTCCATATATCAGTTTTAGAGGCCCTAAAATAAATAAATTTCCTTTTTCAAACTTAAATTCTATCAAGATCAGCTTTCTGGTCAATTAGAGTCCTGTTAGACACAATGTATCTATTTATTGAAAAAGAGAACAAATATATGCATCTTTCTATCCTTCAAACACTGCTACTTGAATCTCTTGCCAAAAACAATTAATCCTCACAGCCAATAACCTAGTGTTAAAGTGGCTGGTCATTCAAAAACAAAATATAATGAAATCTATATGCACAACTGCCTAGACCAAATAGTCTAAAGGCAAGGTAAGAACCTTTCATTGAATCCATCAGAAACAGCTCTCATAAAAGCAAAGGTTATCAAAATAATCATCCGGCAGAAAATAATCCCTTTCTCTTATTTAAAAATGGCCTGAATTTTTTCAACTCAACTTAAAAAAAAAAAGGCATATTCCATGTTTAAATGGATCTTACAATATTTTTAAATATTCAAATTTAAAACCAAATTACTTTTCCAATATAAACATGACAAATCTTACAATTTAAAAAAACAGTAATCTATTACCTTGAACCCACAACCCTGAGACCAAGACCTGAGCTGAGATCAGGAGCTGGATGCCAAAATGACTGAGCCACCCAGGCGCCCCTATTATCTTGATTCTTGAGGTTGACAATAAGCAGATGGAAAAGACAAAAAGAATTAGAAAAAGATACAGCATTTTGGCTCAAGAGCTGTTTTAAAAAGTAACTTAAGGTAATTTTTGCCTTTAACCTTCTGATATTTTGTTTTCAACAAGAATCTAAAATGAGAAAAAATATAAATGCAAACCAAGCACTGCTTGGTTGTGCTAAAATAATTGTATAATTAATATTTTGCTTTTCCTATCCAAAATACTTTTAATTTAAATACTTACTCTGAGCCTGCAGCCATTTCCAAGTATGATGTTTCCGCTGTATCAACCCCCAAAGGGATCACTATGCTCATGACGTTCGCCTCTGGTAAATTCGATTACTATGGAGTCCTATGCATTGGTATCCAAAACACTGGGGCATGCCAGCCACAGTGCTCATTGCAAACATCTAAGTGCATCCACAAACCCTGTTTAAAAGAAAAGGGAACAAAAAGTTAAAAATCATCTTCATTCCTAACACAGTCATACTATAACAACAGTAAGTAAAATAGCCATATAAACTGGAATTTGCTCAGGGAGGGATTCTCTATTTCATTTAGGTTCTTTTTGAATTAAGCTATGGGACTGTGATTGAAAGAAGTTTCTGAATCAAAATCTCCCTTTGGGAATGAATTTAAAATACCAAAAGAAAGATTAACTAAGGTGCACTGCTTAGTGAGGAACCAACAAATATTACTCATTTTGAAAAACAAAATGGAATTTCTTACAGTACTAGTATCTAAAATAAGTCTTCTTGGTTCAGAAAGTGATCTAAACTAACAAATATAGACTTGGACTATGGACTAAGCATCATATTAAGCTTTTAGATGGATGATCTATTTAATCCTTATAGCTCTGAGACAGGGATCTTTCACCATTGAGGATCACAAAAGCAAGAAAGATTAAATAACTCAACCAAGGCTGTTCAGTTCAAGAAATAAAACCAGGATTTGACCAATTCCACTCTATTGCTTATATATGTATAAAAGGAAAGCTATTTTATTTGTAATAAAATCCACTGCTTTAAAGTGGTTGTCAAAAAAATTAAATAAATAAAGTGGTTGTCATTTTCCATACTACATAAACACAGGTCTACTGAGGGAGTTCTTGATTTCTTCAGTTAGTATCAACTCCCTAGAACTAATTCCCCGATACAGGCAATTAGTAAAGAAAACTAATACACTTCAACAATTTTTTAAACAAATTTATCAAGTAACAAAATATATTCAGCTTCAACACCAATGCTTCTAATCTAATTCACTGTATAACACTTGCATATGGTACTCCTTGTGAAATACCTACTCAAAATCTTTTCAGTAATAAAATAGTACAACTTAGGAACAAAACAGAGAGATAATCCTATAAACAGGAAAAGAGCAACAGTCAAAATTGTTTTTTGCCATCTTATATCTGAACTACTGAAGAGCAAGATTTCTTCAAATAGCAATTCTTGTATTTATTTTTAATTTTTACAAGTAACCTCGGGAATACCTAATTCAGGTTAATTCCTATTTCACAGATAATGCAGATTGTGAGCTCATACCTTATCGGAGCAAATACCAAAATAGGGAAATAAAGTGGTAACAGTGGTTTGAATTCTCCAAGAAAACTAGCCTCTATTTTTAAACCATGTGTAACTGGGGGAGACCTACTATATTATAAGATATTTTAATAAAAATATATGGTAATAGGCTTTTGCACCTAAAAGTTAAAAACGGAAGCACTAGACCTATCTCTAATGCTCACCAGATGTGTGAGCTAGTCAAGTTATTTAACCTAAGCCTCAGGTTCCTTGTTTATAAAATAGGAATTTATCCTCATAGGGTTTCTGTGAAGAAAATAAAATAATGAATGTAAAGCATTTTTGTACACAGCACTGCACATATTTAGCAATCAATATGTAGCAGTCACACAAGAAGAGTTGCTCTTCTTTCATGGAAAAGCTCTCTAGACTTCATTTAAAGTGAATCTTCCAATAGTTTTTGAAACTAAAGTAGTAACAGTTTTCAACTTGCCATGTTTTTACAGTTTGTTCCATCAAATTAAAGTCATCCTCTAAAAATAATTAAGCAGAGTGAGAAAAAGGAAAAGCTGCCCTACCTTTTTTCTGCACCCCTGACCATATTAGAGTTACTTCATGAAAGCCATATTTATTAACCCACATAAAGCTATAAAATTTCTAATTAACAAAAGGCAAACAATACAAAACTGAAAGTTTGTTCTATTCAAATGGTACATTATTGTGTATTTCTTTAAAATGCTGAAGACATGGACCTAACAACAGTAACAATTACAACTTAAAAAAAAAAAAATCTCATCCTTATTGGTAGAATCTACTTGGTAGAAGTTTTCTTCAGCTCAGCTTATCTTTACATTAGACTCATAAGAAGTCTTACATTTCAGGTGTATGTTGTTAAATATTTAGTAGTACCATTTTTTTTTTGTTTGTTTTAACCAGAGGCAAAAACTAGAAAGCAGAAATCAAATTGTTATGTATTCTTTTAGGTAACTGAGTAGTATTTCCAACCTAAAAGAATCTACTTGAGTATGTATTCAATAGTGTGCTCCATTTTTATAAAATATACAATCCTCAATAAACACTACATTTGAACTATTTTTAAATAGCAGTGAAGAGCTTGCCATGAGCCTATTTCAGACAATAGCTTGTGTCTGATTACTGCCTGTCTCTCAAACCCTGCACAGTACCTGGAGCGAAACAGGCACTCTCTAAGGGATAGGTGAATGAATTAGCGCACCTAAGATGAAACTGCAGCCCTGGCCTCATTAGCCAAATGAGCTGTCAACCTCTACAATTAAGTGCTATAACAGCAACTACATGACACCTTCTCCACAACTGCATCACTCTAAAAACAGACACTCATCCCCAGGACAGACACATCATCGCATCTGAAACAGAACCACAAACTGAATTTGATTCAACAGGGAAGATCTCAGTAATTAATTGACAAAAGATCAGAAGGCAACAGGTCCTATCTATTGAGACCATAAAATGGCAAATATTTCACTATATTCATTAATACCAAAAACTCTAGAGCCAGAAAACTCACACTGTTTAAAAATGTAGTTGAGGGGCGCCTGGGTGGCTCAGTTGGTTAAGCGACTGCCTTCGGCTCAGGTCATGATCCTGGAGTCCCAGGATCGAGTCCCGCTTCGGGCTCCCTGCTCGGCAGGGAGTCTGCTTCTCCCTCTGACCCTCCCCCCTCTCATGTACTCGCTCGCTCTCTCATTCTCTCTCAAATAAATAAATAAAATCTTTAAAAAAAAAATAAAAAAAATAAAAATGTAGTTGATACTTAAAATCATAAATTCATTAGGGGCAAATCGTGTCTTTAAAAATAAGAAGAAAGGGAAAGTCAATGTAGTAAGCAGAAAAGGTGTGAGCTTATAAACAGGCACAACTAGAGGAAATTCAACAATTCAACACAATCCAAACAATTACCACAAAGCTTTCCCATCTTATATGCAAATCAAGAAACTGGTTTTCCAACTGTCAAGTAAAATATATACAAAATACATTGAGAATAAATGGCAGCCATTAAAGAAATAATATAAAAGGAAATACCATGAGATGTCTGGTAAATCTGAGGTCCAAGAAAGAATAAATGTCTTCACAAAACCTGCTATCCAGAATAGACCTAGAAACCAAGTGAACACAGGAGTATTGAGCTGTTTTTAAATGGCATAGAATTATAGGTACTTCTGTCTAATATGGCACCTAAAACCAAAGGGACTCACACAAAGAAGCTAATTCTTAAAAAAATAAATTTATTCTTTACTTCTTTATACAAATGAATGTAAACACAGTAAAGGCAACAATTAAAGCTAAATACCAAATCAAACTGAAGAGAAACTGGAAAAATACAATATTAAATACAGATTTAGCCAAGCAAAGGCAACAATACCAAAACCAAAACAAAACCCTAAAGTAGGAAAAACAAGATAAAAAAACTAGGAAAAGCAATTATAAAACAATCAGACAAACTAGAAGGCTGAGGCTGCTTTTTAAGACCATGTTCAGAAAACAAAAAAATACCACTGAAAAGATGAATATTGTACCCAAAAAGCAGAAGGATGAAAATATGAGGAAATTTTTTTTCTAAAATTTTAAATAAAAGTGCCCAATCTAACAATCTCTTCGAAGAGTCATGTATTATTATCTTTCTGTCCTTCCTAAGGACTTTATGCAGAGCTCAAAAAATACTAAAATTAAATCAGTGTTTATGTTTTGGAATTGTATCACTAATAAGCTGGTGAATTTTTGACTAAATTACTATTGAAAATGAAATAAAGAAACTTGAAAGAAATTGTGAGGGACCACATACATAAGATTTCCTTATAAATTAAAATTAAACTGCCCTCACTATGAATTTAAGATTTTTTTTCTCTGTAGCAGTTAACTAATACATAATAATAATAAAAAATACTGGTTGATCAAGATCTATTACCAAGTTATTACCTATGAAACTTTGGACAAGTCATTTCACTACTCTGGGCTTGAACTATAAATGGAGGTAGGTTAGGTTGATGATCTTACAGTTTAAGCCGTATAATCACAAGTATATTAACAGATTACTCCCGATTATCGAAACAGTATGATTCCAAAAAAGCAACACAAAATAACTTTGACAACAGAAAATCCATTTCTCCAACTGGGTTAATATTACCATCAGACAGTGCTCTACAAGCACTTACCTGATACTCAAATCTCACCGAAAGTTCTAATAGCAATAACAAATAATGAGGCTCACAAGCCTATGATAATGCCTATGTGAGGATGTAATGCAGCCTCACAAGCCTATGATGTAGGTACATTTATTATCTCCATTTTACAGGCAAGGTAGAGATTAAACTTGTCTAAAGTTCTATACTAATAAGTAGCAGAATCAAGATTGGAATGCTAGCAGTCCGATTCCAGAACCTACACATTAGTTTGCCTGAAATTAAAATTTGCTAGATGACTGGTGTTTACAGTTAAGAGGAAAAAATTGACAAATGCTTCTCTCAGAAAGAGGAGAAATTAAATAAATACATAAGTGTCGCACTCCAGGACATCTGGACTGCATTTATTCTAGCACACTGAAAGAACAGTAATGAAACCCACCCTGCTCCTCCCCCAAACCTGATCTATTTAATGATGCGTTCCACAACAATGCATTAAAACACTACAGAAGTGGAGACGCATGGGCTCAAAGTCTAAAATTCAGATTTAAAATATT